AGCGCGTCTAATTTGTTAGTTACCTTGGATGGGCCCGAAAATGGATGTGTTAAAGTCATATATATATATATATATATATATATATTGATGTGACATAAGCACAGTAAAATAATCTACAGTTAACACTTTCTGCTAAAAAGTGAAGTTTAATCTCCATTTAGAATTTAGATGAAGGTGGGGCAAAGGCGTCATAAAGATGTGCGAGTAATGATCTCCCTACAGAGAGTGTGGGCAAAATTAAGAGTGAGTCAGAAAGCAGGTACATGGCTAATGTGGTCAATTTTTCTTAGTTTTTATTTCTTTATCTGCAGGTACAAAAGTTTAGCCGAAACGAAATAATTTAAGACTTACTTTGTCGACTTTAAAAAAGAAGGTTTGTACAAATAGTTCAATTTTTGATTTATAGCTATGATTTAGTCATGATTGCTAACTAGACAAGTGATGTTTAGTTAGCAAGAAATCCAATAAAAATTCAAGTTAAGTGGGGTCTTAATACCATTCTGATGCTCAAAATGATAATTCATCATGCTTAAAACATTTAAATCTAACTCTTCATGCTTCATACTGAAATTAAACTCAATTCAAGTGAAAGATTCCGAAATATATATCAACATTATATATCTATATCGTCAACAAGATTTGATCAACAAGATTATCAACAAAATTTGATCAACAAGATTATTAACGCAGATTTGGTTTTATAGATTAAGTTGCCGATACGATAGGGATAAAATTTAAACCTAACTATTTTTATCAATTACTTTTTATGATTTTATAACGATGAAAATTCGTTATATATTTTTCGTCAAATAAAACATATTAATAGTGAAAAATTGGTGCTTTACACATCGTTTTTCTTATTTATTATTATAATTATGTATGGTGGCACTAAACAATTTTGCATGAAGTTTGTTTTAAAGATTGATACAGTTTATTTACCTCTTATTTCCTAAAAAATAGTACTTGGAAATGTTAATCACAATATGTTGCAAACTTTTAAGATTAAAAAGATAATATTAAGAAGGGATGATAAATAAATGCACGATGATTAATACCGCTTAAGAGATACATAAATACAGATACATCAAGTAAGCACATTTTTTTATTCATTTTAAGCTGATGACAGCCGTACTGTATTGTGGTCAAGGAGCCGACTTCATATCAATAAGGCCCCGGTTTGAATCCCAATTCGAGCGTGTATATAATTTTTTCTTTTGTTATATCTCTCCTTGGGTTGTTAGGGTGCCGTTTAATCACCTATATGGTGCACACAACACCGCCTATTATGTACCACGAGGCTATATGTTGGAAGAAGTGATGAGCATTGAGAAAAAAGATTATATTTTGAGTTTTTTTTCTCAATCAAATGCTTCAATAATTATCAGAAATGATTTCATTTTTTTTGGTATACAGAAAAACTAATTAAATAAAAACAGAAGAATTGTTCTTCATTAGTTAGACAGATATTAAATTTTCAAACTCACCCTTTTCGTTGCTTAATTCTGAGCTAAATGAGCAAACACTGCAAATAAAGCAAGTGGAAAACAGTAAAAGTGTTAATATGTTAGTCATTATATTAAAGCAAAATCATTTTAGTTCTAAAAAAACTGAGGAAATCGTGAAGAAACACATAAGAAAATCGTTAAAAAAAACTGATAGAGAAAAAGTATTAAAGCACTTGAGAAACCTAAGCTTACATTATCTTATCAGGATTCAAAATTCTTAAAATAAAGATCAGAATAAACCTAAGCAGAGCTAAATGCAACTGATATCAGAATATAACTGATTACAAACACAGTATTCGCATTATCTTTATTGATCATGCACATAATGCTCAAAATCATCAGATGCAATCTATTTACACCATGCTGTAAAAATCTCTCTTTTGACTAGGATGTTTCCAAGATTGCCTCATTACGTCACTGTGTGTAGAGTTTTTAAAAAAAAATGTGAGCATTCTTATCTTAGAACATCATCTTAGAATTTAGTATCAAGAGATCCATGGATATATAAAATTATACCAAATATGTACAACTTTATAATTCACTTTTTCACCTCATCGCGCATCCTTTTTAAGATAAGAAAACAAATTTCTTGTATTCTTCTTGGTAGGGCTGATTCTGATTACGTGGCCATATTGCATCCATTATTTTGAATCAGGTTCTCAGAAATCTTCACGAATCCATAAGTGTTTTTCAATGTTAACCTTGAAACGGCAGATTATAAATAAAGTGAGGTACTTTTTTTTCTAGTGAAACAGGATATGATAAGACAGTTTGGTTATCAATTATAAAAGATGGGATGTGGCTTATATATATATATATATATATA